CGATTGTGAAGCGGTTAAGGGGCGGCGGCGGCAGCGGCGGCGGCGGCGGAGCGCTTAACCGTTTAACAATCGATTGCGCAACGGTTAAGGCCCCCCTGGCGAGAGGGGGGTCTTGACCGTTGCGCAATCGATTGTGAAACTTAAGCGGTTGCGGAGCGGCGGCGGCGGCGGCGGCGGCTGCGGCGCTCGACCGTTTCACAATCGATTGCGCAACGGTTAAGGCCCCCCCTGGCGAGGGGGGGGCCTTAACGGTTGCGCAATCGATTGCGAAGCGGTTGCGGGCGGCGGCGGGGCGGCGGCGCTTCACCGTGTCGTCGCAATCATTGCGCAACGGTTAACTCCCCCCTGGCGAGAGGGGTCTTAACCGTTGCGCAATCGATTGTGAAGCGGTTAAAGGGGCGGCGGCGGCGGCGGAGCGCCTAACCGTTTCACAATCGATTGTGCAACGGTTAAGACCCCCTTGGCGAGAGGGGGGTCTTAACCGTTGCGCAATCGATTGTAAAACGGTTAAGGGGCGGCGGCGGCGGCGGCGGGTAGGTTAGAGCTCCCAGGGAGCTCTAACATGGTATGTTACAGCTCCAGGGAGCTCTAACATGTTATGTTAGAGCTCCCAAGGAGCTCCAACATGGCATGTTAGAGCCCCCACGGAGCTCTAACATAGCATGTTAGAGTATGTTAGAGCTCCCTGGGAGCTCGAATATCGTATGTTACAGCTCCGTGGGAGCTCTAACATAGCATGTTAGAGCTCCATGGGAGATCTGACATGTCATGGTAGAGTTCCACGGAAGCTCTAACGTAACATGTTAGAGCTCCACGGGAGCTCTAACATCCTATGTTAGAGCTCCCAGGGAGATCTAACGTAGCTTGTTCGAGCTCCCTGAAGCTCTAACATGCCATGTTAGAGCTCCCTGGGAGCTCTAACGTGCCAGGTTAGAGCTCCCTGGGAGCTCTACCATGTGAGGGAAATCGATCAACGAAGGGGGATCCCTCAAATCGCCCTGCCCCTCGGGAGCCCACAAAATAGCCTCCTGGACCCCTCTTGGGGCGCTCTTGGGGCGCTCTTGGGCGCTCTTGGGGCCGTATTGGGGCTCTCTTGGCCCCCATCTTGGGGCCCTCTTGGGCCATATTGGAGCCATCTTGGGGCCTCGGATGGTCATCGGAAGCGAAAAGGCGAGAAGAGGCACACATCACATATTTTCTGTAAGTTTTTAAAGGATGTTGGCATCTTGGGGGCCTCCTTGGAGGTCTCCGAAGCCTCTTGGAGCCGTCTTGGAGCGTTCTTGGGACCCCTTGGAGAATCTTCGGGGCCATCTTGAGGCATCTTAGGCTATCTTGAAGCATCTCGGAGGTCATCTTGGGCTCTCCGAGGCGCTCTTGGAGCCGTCTTGGGCCATCTTGGGCTCTCTAACTACCCGCGGGGCGCCCCGTCCAGGTCCAGGGGGGGGGGTAGGGGGAAGGGGGGGCGTGAGGTGGAGGAGAAGGAGGAGGATGAGGAGCAGGAGGAGCAGGACAGCAGGAAAAAGGGTGAGCAGGAGGAGGGCCATGGGCCATGGGGGGGATGCTGATTACGATGATGACGGTGATGATGACGATGATGCTGATGACGATGAAGATGATGACGACGATGCTGATGATGATGACGACGATGATGACGATGAAGATGATGATGATGATGCTGACGACGATGACGATGATGATGATGATGATGGTGATGATGATGATGACGATCAGGGCTCACATGGAGTTCTAACATGCTATGTTCTGGCACGTGATACCATGTTAGAGCTCCTGGGAGCTCTAACATGGTATCACGTGACATGTGAAAGCTCCCAGGGAGCTCTAACATGGTATGTTAGAGCTCCCTGGGAGCTCTAACATGCCATGTTCGAGCTCCCTGGGAGCCCTAATCGTCATCATCATCATCATCATCATCGTCGTCGTCGTCGTCATCATCATCATCATCATCATCATCATCATCGTCATCGTCATCATCATCGTCGTCGGCGTCATGATCATCATCATCAGCATCTTCGTCATCATCATCATCGTCATCATCGTCATCATCATCATCGTCATCATCACCGTCATCATCGTAATCAACATCCCCCCATTGCCCATGGCCCTCCTCCTGCTCACCCATTTCCTGCAATCCTGCTCCTCCTGCTCCTCATCCTCCTCCTTCTCCTCCTCCTCACGCTCCCCCTCCCCCTACCCCCTCCCCTGGACCTGGACGGGGCGCCCCGCGGGTAGTTAGAGAGCCCAAGATGGCCCAAGACGGCTCCAAGAGCGCCTCGGAGAGCCCAAGATGACCTCCGAGATGCTTCAAGATAGCCTAAGATGCCTCAAGATGGCCCCGAAGATTCTCCAAGGGGCCCCAAGAACGCTCCAAGACGGCTCCAAGAGGCCTCGGAGACCTCCAAGGAGGCCCCAAGATGCCAAAATCCTTTAAAAACTTACAGAAAATATGTGATTTGTGCCTTCTCGCCTTTTCGCTTCCGATGACCATCCGAGGCCCCAAGATGGCTCCAAGATGGCCCAAGAGGGCTGCTGCCACTGCTGCTGCTGCTGCTGCTGCTGCTGCTAGTGGTAATGCTGCTGCAGGTGCTCGTGGTGCTGCTGCCGGTGCTGCCAGTGATGCTGCTGCTGCGGCTGTTGCTGCTGCTGCTGCTGCTGCTGATGGTGCTGCTGCTGGTGCTGCTGCTGGCGTTAGTGCTGCTGCTGCTGGTGGGGGAGGGGGGGAGGCGGAGCGGAGGAGGAGGAGGGGGATGAGGGGGAGCGTGAGGAGGAGGAGGAGGAGAAGGAGGAGGATGAGGAGCAGGAGAAGCAGGAGAGCAGGAAAAAGGGTGAGCAGGAGGAGGGCCATGGGCCACGGAGGGATGTTGATTATGATGATGATAACGATGTTAATGATGATGATGATGATGATGATGATGACGATGATGATGATGACGGCGATGATGATGATGCTGAGGATGCCGATACTGCTGCTGCTGATGATGATGGTGATGATGATGAGGAGGAGGACGAAGAAGAAGAAGAAAGGCGAGGAGAGGGGGATGCAGGGTACGAGGCACAGGGGGATCAGGAGGATGAGCAGGAGGAGGAGAAGGAGGACAACGACGACGAGGATTCGTGGGAGGAACAAAGTGGAAGGTTGGATGGATGACCAGGTACGTGGGAGAAAAGGAGAGGAGAATGAGGAGGCGGCTGCGGAGAGGATGTGTCGTCGTCGTCGTCGTCGTCGCCGTTTTCACCTCGTCGTCCTCGTGGAAGTCGTCGCCGTCGTAAGGGCCCAACCCCATGCAGCTGCGAGTAACGCAGGATGACTCTCTCCTCATAGGTAGCGCGCCGCCAGAGGGGTGGAGCCAAGGGCATTGCGGATGGGGGCCGCGAAGCGTCTGAGGGGGTTGCCGAAATGAGGCGGACGCGCAAAATGGAAATGCCCATTGGAGCCTTCGGCGGAGCTCCACGTGAGGCCGACAAGACGTGTGAGGGTGTGCCTTAATGGAACGACGACAACGACGACCGCGACGACGACGACGACGACGACGACGACGACGGCGGGGGGGGCGGCATGCGGACGTGCCCGATGGGACGACGACGACGACGACGACGACGACGACGACGACGACGGCGGGGGGGACGGCTCGATGCGAGCTCTAACATGCTACGTTAGAGCTCCCAGCGAGCTCTAACATAGCATGTTAGAGTTCACAACCCTCACATCGAAATCTAACATATCATGTTAGAGCTCCCAAGGAGCTCTTACATACCATGTTAGAGCTCCATGACATTACCTTGAGCCAAGTCCTACGGACCACAATGGTGACGATGGTGATGGTGATGGCGATGCTGATGGTATGGATGGTGATGATGATGATGCTGATGATGATGATGATGATGATGATGATGCTGATGATGATAATGATGATGATGATGATGATGATGATGATGATGATGATGATGATGATGATGATGATGATGGGGATGGTGATGGTGGTATGGTGAGGGCGGTTGTGATGGTGATGATGGTGATGCTGATGATGGTGATTGTGGATGTGATGAGCACCGCCATCATCACCATCACCATCGCCACCACCATCAGCACTACGATTTGATAACCACCATCATTACAATCGTCGTCGGCATCAAAACACAAAAACACTCAACCAACTCAACCTAAACCCGCCCTAAAGACAGCCAGGCCCCAGAGCCGAAATCGAGGAAAAGCGCCCCGCTGGTTAAACATCGGACCGCGCCGAAGATCTGGGAAGGTACCCACTGCAACTCCCTGGGCCTCTCCCGGGGCGACTTCTGACTAGGACTTCGAAGAGCATCCAGCCGTGGCGACGAGGGCTCTCCAGGACGAGCAGCGGGGTCGGTGTCTTCTCCTCCTGTGGCCTCCCGCGCGGCCTCAGGCCCCGAGTGCCCGCAGCAACGCCGTCTTCCAGAAGGCGACGGTGCCCGCCACCCGGCCCAGGTGGCCTGGAGGGGCAACGTAGGGACCAGCTCAGGGGGGGGCATGCAGACATGCCCGCGTCGTGCAAAAATCTGGGCGGGAGGTGTTGAGCCGTTTTCGGTCGCTGGGGGCCCTCGCCGGGCCCTGGGACAGTCAACAAACGACTCAAGACGAAACGCCGGTCCCAAGGAAAAGGTCGGGACTTCAGGGGACCGCGCATTGACAAATCAGGACATCGCATGTCTGGGCATCAAGCCTCAATCGGCGGTACATCGCCGATAGATCGGCGATGGGCCCCACGATAGCGGAACCGCGCGTTCCCGGGCGGGGCGGGAGATCGGGCCCCTCCCGGCGATCAGTCGGCGATCCGGGGTCGACGTACCCCCAGCCTGAACCGATCCACCGCTGGCGTTGCCCCTGAGGCCTGCCCGCAGCTGCCCGCTCAGCCGCCAAAGTAGCTCCTGCGACCCGAGCGCCGCCAGGAGCTCCCCGGCCGACCCGAACGTGAAGACCTGGGCACCCGGGCGGTCGTGGAAAGGTCAGCCGTCCACTCTCACGTCGTCCGAAAGTTTCGAGAAGGCCGTCGAACAATTAGCAGGCGCAGACGATAAGACGTGTTGCTACTGGGAATACAAGATTACGAGGGGGGGCCATGGGGGGGTACTACAGGGGGGCCGCGATTGGAAACCACGATAGGGGGGTCGGGATAGGGATGAGTAGCGATGGGGATGTAGCGCTAGAGAAACAGGGATAAGGAAAAAGAGAATGGGAGCTCACAGGCCACATGCCCAGTATCTCACCCAAACGAGAGGCGGCGAAGGGGTGGCGCCAGACACTGAAAAATTGATCACGAAATACTTGCTTTCCAAACAAGCCCCTGACAAGAGATCCGGGGATGCCAAGAACAGAGGCAACATGTGGACGGCTCAGCAGGAATATCCGACGTCAGTTCTCGTGATCCCAACAAGACACGGTTCCAGCTGGGCTTCGAGTCCATTCCCGATCGCCAGTGCAAAAGGGAAGGAACGAGCAAGGAGGGAAATCTCTGGCTCGAGAAATCACAGGTCACACAATTACACGCCCCACGCCGCGCGATGCGCAAGGCGCGGTTTGCGTCACTCTCTGGCCCAGGTCGCGGAGCACGAGCATCGTCACACACCTTGACATGGGGGCCTTGGCTCTGCTTTTTCACGCGATGCCGTCATGCTCTTTTCGCGATTATGGGACCCCTGGCAGCGCGCAGAAGTCCGTGAGCAGCCACCAGTAGGCCCGACCAGCGATATCGTCCCAGTCGCTGTAGTGGTGGGGGTACGCCGACTGGGGCACGCGCCAGAGAGTGGCCTGCCACTCGTCCACCGCGTTCGTGCCTCTGCTGAAGGTGTACAACGGCGTGTCTGGCACGAACGTCGGTATCCCCATGTTGACCCAATCATAGAAAGCCATGGTCTGGAGCCAATCATACGGAAAGTAAATGCCGGCCCTGAAGGCGCCCCAGTCGTCGAAGGACATCCTGCCCAGCTTGTGGAGCTCGCCAGCGTCTCTGAAGTGCACGGCGTCGCCTGCAGCACGGGCGCAGAGGTTGAGCACGTAGGAGACGTCCCAGAATGCCATCGGCCGTTTGTTCACGAGCACCTCGTCGGGCCTGCTGGCCGTGTACCGCGCCGGCAGCGTGTAGGCCGACAGCGGGCGTATGGCGGGAATCTCGACCGGCATGTGATAGAGGGACTGCATCGAAATGTACGGCGCCACCGTTGCGAGCGTGGTGCGGGGGTCCTTGGCCAGCTGCTCCGAGAAGCGGCGGTAGAGATCTTGCTGGTTCTCGCTTCCCTTGATCATGAAGGCGACGTGGACCCCAAAGTAGCCGATGATGGCCTTCCCTTCCGCGTGGGCGATGGCGCAGACTATGGCGGGCTCGCTGCAGAGGACGACGTCGGCTTGCGCGAACGCGGCCCCCTCGAGAGCCAGGGCGGCACGGAAGGCCTTCTCGAAGTCCGCTGGAGCTCTGAGGGAGTCGCGGTGCGAGTTTTTCGGATTCTGGTCGGCCTCCTGTCTGGACGGGTAACAAGCCATGCCCACCCCAGCCATCGGCGGCGCGCCGCGGTGGAAGTGAAAGGGGGCAGCCCTTCTCAGAAGGCGGCGGGGCTTCTCAGAAGCCCTCTGGCCTTCTGAGAAGGCATCGGTGTCTTTGGAGAAAGCCGAGAAAGCTTCTCCACCCGCACTCCCTGCTTTTAAAACCTTAGCGCGCCGCCGACACATGGGAAACGGTGGCCCAACTCGCCGACCTGGCCCCCATTGGGTGCAGATGGGTGCCGTCTCCCCATCCCCACTTCGAGAGCGGAACGCTGGGAGAGCTGCCCTGCCCCCGCCGGCGTTGGGATGGTTTCTGACGATGAGGATCCTTCTCGCTGTACGCCTCGAAGACCTCCCGGACCGCGCTCGCCCGGTCCGCCCGCACGACCGGCCAGTTCCCTGAGTGGAACCCGCAGTAATCCTTGGTGCCCCTCCACGTGACCTTCGGGGATCTGCTTACCTCAAGTCAACCCAGACCCGGGTCAGTCGGGCCTTGCAGGATCCTGCAAGATCCTGCACCCAAGCCCGGGTCAATGCGAAGGATCCTGCAAGATCCTGCAGCATCCTGCACTCAAGCCCGGGTCAGTGCGACCCTGGCACTGCAGGATCCTGCAAGATCCAGCGCCCTGGCTGACCCCCGTTGGCATTGACCCCCGTCTCTTGAGCCCCGAGACCTGCAGGTCGAACTCGCCCGGGAGCAGCAGTGCGATGGCGGAGACGGGATCGGCCATCACCTCAGGCCGCGTACTCGTCAAGGGATGCTGCTCGACTGGCGGTGGACGAGGAGGACGAGAAGAACGATGACGAGGAGGACGAGGAGGACGAGGAGGACGAGGAGGACGCGGAGAACGAGGAGGACGACAAGTGTTCTGGGGGCGCGGGTCTCCGCGCACGGCGCCCCCCAAAAAGGCGAACAAGGGCAATCGTCCAGCAGGCGTCTGCTGGACCGCGGGAGCGACTGAGGCAAACCTTTCGGCTTTGCCCAGGGGGGCTGGGCCGAATCCACTGGGGGCCTCTGCTTCCCCGTGGCCCGGCTAGGGATCCGCGCCTCCATTCGACGCCATCCGAGGCCATCCAGGGCTATCCGAGGCGACCTGGACGCTGGGGAACTCAGCAATCTCAGAGCTCAGGCGTCGTGATCTGTGCAGCTCGTGGGCCCCGTAGAGCTCTCGACCTCACCCTTGGGATCTCATTTTTACGCGGGGGAATACTTTACAGCCCCGGGGCCCAGAACGCGTCGCCAGAGGCCCCAATCCCACCCCAACAGCGATGTGAATTCATCGCGACGCCAAGATGCCTTTGGATGTGTCCTTGGGCGCCGCAGAATCTGATGCCCGCCAAGCACGTGCGTATCGAAGGTCAGACGACGACGTCGACAACAACGACGGTGGCGACGTCGAAGCCGACGTCGACTACGACGACGGTGGCTAGGCCGTCGCCGAGCAGTGCGTGCCGAAGGCCCAGACGCGCGCCCGCCACGGCGCGCGGGCCCTCGCGAGGCCCCCCGCGGCGTCGGCGCCGCCGCGCGCGGGCGCGGGCGGCCAGGCCCACCTCGCCGCGGCCGCCGCTGCCGTTGACACCGCCGTCGTCCACGTCGCCGTGCTCGTCCTTCTCGGCGTCGCCGTGGTCCTCCTCGTCACCGCGGTCGTCGTCGCCCTCGCGCTCCTCGTCCGCCCGACTGTCTCCCCCGTCGGCCCCCTCTTCCGCTCTCTCCTCCAGCGGCCCATCGATTCCCTTCCCTTCCCTCGCTTCCTCCTGAAACTCCTACTCGAGGGGGATGATGAGGATTGCGACGACGACGATGACAACGGCGAAGACGACAACGCTGTGGACGGCAAGGGCGAGGACAAAGACGACGACCGCGGCGGCAACGAGACCGTCGTCTGGAGGCCTCCCAAGGCCTTCGAGGGAAGCGCCCTGGAGTCACCACAGAAGAGGTCCCCAGAGGCCTGCGGCGGCCTCCGGCGGCATAGAGAGAGAGAGAGAGAGAGCAAGATCGGAGAAATTACGAGCATCGAGCCCTCGATCCTCGACCGAACCTCGGCCCTCGAGCCGAGGGCGCCTCGCCACCGCGGCCAGGCTCTCCTGGGCCGCGGCCTCCGCCCGCAGCCACGGGGCCTCTCACGAGCGATGAGCACATCCATAGTCCATGACCTCGCGGTCTGGAGACCCGTGGCGCGATCCATGTCCCACGGATGCCTTCCGCGCGGAGCAACCGCCTGGAAGCCGCCCTGCATCCACGATTGGCCGCAGCCGAGGAACCCGGACCGCGAGGCCTGGGACACTGGATACGCCTCCCGCCCACGCGCAGGCCACACGCCAGAGCGGCCCTGGGCAGGAGCGACCTTTGGTGCGTCGCCCGCCGATCGTTGCATACGATGCGGCAGCAGCGGGATCTTAGCAGCGCCCATTAGGGGGTGGCGCGAGGGGGGCGGCCTTCAAAGGCCGCGGCGGGGCTTCTAAGCAGGCAAGGGAAGCTTCAGAGAAGTCTTGTTAGCAACCTCCGGGCCTTTCTGAGAAGCCCCTTGCCTTCTGAGGAGCCCCGCCGCCTTCTTGGAAGGCCGCCAACCCTAGCGCCAGCCGCTGCGGGAGCCGCGAAGCGTCCGTGCTGGGGCCTGGGCCCTCCGCGCCTCCTCAAAAAGCTCGACACGCGAAGGCCACCCTGGCGAAGGGCTACTCTCGCGCGCAGCCGAACCGAGCCTCCCCTCGGTGCCACGGCCGCCCGGCGGCCAACAGCCGCGGCGAGTCGCCGCCGAGCACTGGGGCGAACTCGTACGTCCCGGGCCTGCTACCACGGGCGCGCCCCCGCGCTCGGTGCACGCGCGCTCGGCTCGTCGTCGTCGTCGTCCTCCTCCTCCCTCCTCCTCCTCCTCCTCCTCCTCCTCCTCTTCCTCCTCCTCCTCCTTCTTCTCTTTTTGTTTCTCTCTAAGAAGTTCCGTCCTGTCCCACCCGAGGCCAGTCCGATGGGCGGGCCAGGCTTTTCGCCTGAGGCTTCCTTACCAATTATGATCATGAAACTTATTAACAAATTGCAACAACTTCATCGATGGAGAGCGGGTCACTTTCAAAATGTGGCTCCCGCCTCAGCACCGCGCAGATTCGTCATAAACATTTGCAACAGCTTCACGGATAGAGAGCGGGTGGTTTTCAGCAGATGGCCTTCGCCTCAGCGCCGCACACATTCCCTCTCAAAAATTGCAAGAGCGTCATGGATTGAGGGCGGTCCCTTTTTCAAAATGCGGCTGTCGCCTTAGCGCCGCGCGCATGTGGTTAACACATTTGCAGAAGTTTCGAAGAATCCCACGGGTGGCGTGCCAGAAACTGCGTTTGAGGAAAATCCGGATTGCCTGGACACAACGGTTACGTTGATTCGCGGTGCTAGAATCCCAGGATTGGCGTCCTGGCGCGATTCACTCTGATGAACGCGAAGACTATAGAGAGCCATATCGTCCTATAGATTTCTATGGGATCGTATCAACATATAGTGACAAATCGTGAAACATACTGCAAAATGTTGAAAATAATTAAACATACTGGAAAATAGTGAAAAATATCGAAAATAGTGAAGAATAGTGAAAATAGTGAAAGATAGTGAAACATAGTGAAACATAGTGAACATAAGGGACAATATGGAACACATGGAAAATATTGAAGCATAGTGACGATAATAACTAAGCAACAAGAATACAACATCGCATAAGCATGCAAGCGTAGCAAAGCGGACAGACCGCTGCAAACATGAATAAGCAAAGCGGATGGTCCGCTGAGGCGGAGCTACGTTTGACAACTACAAAGCAAAGCGGCTGGTCCGCTGAGGAGGAGGAGGAGGAGGAGGAGGAGGTCGAGGAGGAGGAGCAGGAGGAGGAGGAAGAGGAGCGTGGGGGCTACGCCGTTCGCAGAATTTCGAAGCAAAGCGGTTGGCCCGCTCCTCCTCCCCCCCCTCCTCCCACGAGAACCCAACAGATCTCCCAGCAGGAGGAGGAGGAGGAGCAGGAGGAGGAGGAGGAGGAGGAGCAGGCGGCGGAGCAGGAGGAGGAGGAGCAGGAGGAGGAGGAGGAGGAGGAGGAGGGGCGGGGGGAGGGGGAGGAGGAGCAGGAGGAGCAGGAGGAGGAGGATGAAACAAATCAGGGGAAATAACACTTTTTCTTAAAATAAAAAACCGGGGAGAGAGAGAGAGAGAGAGACAAACAACAAAAAAAAAACCGGAAGAAATGGGGGAGAACAAAACACTTAAAACATTGGAAAGGAAGAAAACAAAAAAACAAAACAACAACAACAAACACAAACACAACGGAAGGGTAGCAAAAAGGGGGCGACCCCAGGCAAACGCCAGAGGAACCCAGGACAACCCCAGACAACACCAGACAACACAAAAAACAACACAGAAACAACAAACAAACAACAAAACAACAACAATCAACAACAAAACACAACAAACGACAACACAACAACAGCACAAACAAACAACAACATACAACATGTTGCTTTGTGTTGTTTTTGTGCTGTCTGGCGTTGTCTGGGCGCGGGCGCGCCCAGACAACACAAGACAACAAGAAGCAACAACAACCAAAAAACAACAAAACACAACACCAGACAACACCAAACAACGTCCAGACAACACCCAGACAACATCCAAATAACACCCAACGGGGTATACACGGAGGAAGCACGCGGAGAGACACGGGGGGCGCGGGAGGGACGCGGGAGGAGTGGGGGCACGGGAGGGGCGGGAGGGACACGGGAAAGACACGGGAGGGACACGGGAGGGACACGGGACGGGCACGGGAGAGACACGGGAGGGACACGGGAGGGACACGGGAGGGACACGAGAGGAGTGGCATAAGGGACACGGCACGGACACGGGAGGGACACGGGAGGGGCACGGGAGGGACACGGGAGGGACACGGGAGGGACACAGGAGAGACACAGGAGAGACACGGGAGGGACACGGTAATCAGGAACGCAGCGCTTTTTCAAGCGAGGATGTCGAGCGCACGCCTCGACGGAAGAGATCGTCGGGCGCACGGCTCGACGGAAGAGATCGTCGAGCGAACCGCCGCTTCTCGCAAGCAGATGCTCTTATGTTGGCATCCGGCGCAGCGCTGCATTGCCCAGCAGGGGAGCGAAGAAGGATCGACGGTGAGATGGCGACGGTGAGATTCGATGGTGAGATTCTCGATGATGCGAGGGAGGCTGCAGACTGCATACTGGAAAAAACTGCGAAAAATAATGGAAAATAAAAAAATAGTGAAAAATAGTGAAAATAGTGAACATAGCGAAAAATACTAGAAATAATGAAAGATAATAAAAGATAATGGAAAATAGTGAGCAATTATAATAACATAATAAATGAAAAATGCGAGAAAAAAAAAGTAAACAGTTTTAGGCTTCGCAACTTTCGCTGATGATAGGGCCCTATGTCCGCCGACCCCTTGTGGGTCTCTAGGCGTGTGAGATAGTTCCCCCCCCTACCCCCCCCCCGGGACCCCAAACCGGAGATTTGACCCCCCCCCCGGCCCGGCGCGAGCGCACCACGAGGCTTCTCGGGACCCAAGAGGGCGTCAAGACGGGGCAAGAAGGCCCCAAGAGGCCTCCAAGACGGCTCGCGAGGGCCCTGAGACGCCACACATGTGTTCCAAGACGCCCAAGATGGCCCAGAGATTGGCCAAGAGGCCTCCAAGACGGCCCAAGAGGTCCCAAACAAGCCTTCCAAGAGGGCCTCAAGAGGCTAAAATTGTTGATTTTCCATTGTGTTGTTCGGTGTTTTTTGCCTTTTTGTCTCTCCGGCTTCCCGACGCTCCAACACGGCCCCAGAGGCCCCGAAGACAGCCACAAGACGGCACAAGAGACCCCCAAGACGGGCCCAAGACGGCCCCAGATGGCCCCATGACGGCCCCAGAGGCCCCCAAGACGGCCCAAGAGGGCTCCAAAACTGCACCCAGAGAAGCCCAAGAGGGCGACCAAACATTTTAAAAAGCTAGCTTTCCGCCCCAAGGATCCCCAGGCGGCCCCAAGTGCGCCTCCAGAGGCCGCCAGAGGCCCCCAAGACTCTCCCTAGACGCCCCAAAGAACCCCCAAGAACACCCCCAGAGGCTCCGAAACGGCCCCCAAGTGGTTTCAAAACTACATTCCAGAGGCCCCCGAGAGCCGTGCCGCGAGATCCCGATACACCTACAAAATGCCCCTAACCCATAACCCAGGACTCTGAACCTTCTCTCTGTGTCCCCCTCGCACCCCCCCCTCCACCTCGGCCCCCAGGTGCCTTCAACATTGCCTTCCAGAAGCCCCCGAGAGCCGTGCCGCGATACCCCGATACACAAACAAGAAGCCTCTAACATATAACCCAGAACCCAGAGCCTCATCTCAGTATCCCCCTCCTCCTCTTCGTCCTCCTCCTCCACCTCCTCCTCGTCCCCTCTCCTCTCCCTTCGTTTCATTCCCCACCCTCCTCCTCCCCCGATCCTCTCCGATTCTTCCCCCCCAATCCTCCGCCCCCCCTCCTCCTTCTCTCCCCGCCCTCCTTCTCCTCCCCAGCACGCGCGCCAGATTGGGCATCATTTGCACGTATTGCACTTCAGGGTGCCCTTCTTTTCGTCGCGCGCGACATGGGCAGGGTTCCTGGGAAACGCCGACTTCGGTAGTCTCCTCTCGCATGCGCCGCTGCACTGATGCGCTCGGCAACTGCGCGCTGTGAACCCGAGTTTCTCACAGCCCCCGCACACCACTTTGAGTTGCTTCGTCTTTCGATGATGTTCCACTTGTGCTTGCTTCAAATGTTTCGTGTCCGGGAACGCTCCCGGACGAACATATTCCGCGCATTGTTCGGTATCGTGCGTGTTTTTTTGTTGCCCGATGGTCCAGGGTGGTCCTCGATGGTTCTCGCCGAGAAAAAATGCACACGTCCTTATGTTGCATCCTCGGGAGACCTTGTCTGTCCCGTCGCGGCCCTCTCCGCGTCGAACCTGTGTCGAATCCATGTCGGACGCGTCGGAACCGTGTTGGATTCGTGTCGAATCCGCGTCGAATCCACGCCAGATCCGCGTCGAGTCCGCATCGAGCCCGCGTCGGGCCCCCAAAGAGACACCAATTTTGGGGACAGGCGAGGTCCCCCGAAGGTGCAACAGAAACGCCCGAGCGACGCCAAGACGCGGAGATCTGCTCTGGGCATGCCTTGCTATGCTCTGGCAGCGAAGGCGAGGGCTGGGGGGCGGAGCCACGGCAGGGCGGGGCGGCAGCGGGAGCAGCAGCAGCGGGAGCGGGGCCCCGAGGGCGGAGGGCCGACAGCAGGCAGAGCTCGCACCGCTACTACTACTACTAGTGCTACTAGTACTACTAGTACTACTATGATTACTACTACTACTACTACTACTACTACTACTCCTTCTACTACTACTTAAACTTCTACTTATACTTCTACTTGTACTTGTACTTGTACTTCTACTTCTACTTCTACTTCTACTTCTACTACTACTACTACTACTACTACTACTACTACTACTACTACTACTACTACTACGACTACTACTACTACTACTACTACTACTACTACTACTACTACTACTACTACTACTACTACTACTACTACTACTACTACTACTACTACTACTACTACTACTACTACTACTACTACTACTACTACTACTACTACTACTACTACTACTACTACTGCTACTACTACTACTACTACTATCTACTACTAACTATTACTACTTGTCTACTGCTACTACTCCAGCTACTAAAACTACGACGACGACGACGACGCCCGCTCCTACTCCTACTACTAGG